GGGTAGCCCCGGGTCCTTTTCGTGTGCCTGGGCTTGACAGAGGAACCAGGTTTGCCGTTTTCACCCCACCGTTGATCACCCTGGGCAAGGTCAACAGGGGAGGGCAAATAGGAGCACAGAATCATGCTGGCCGTGGAGACCCACGGGGAGCATGTCATTTCAACTCGGAGCCCTCCGATCTGGATTGATGAGACCACCTGGCTAAGATCCAGGGGACCCTCTGTCCTCTCATTACGTAGAGTCATGGTCTCCCTCTAGACCCAGTCCCTCGATTTCTACAACTTGGCACCAGGTGTCTCCAAATGGGCAACAGGCTAGAGAGGCCGTTGCTTCTGTAGCCCACCTCCCACTGCTGTCCTTCACTGTCTGTGGCTTAAGTAGCCACTCCCTCAGCATAGCCTGGCTGTCAGAATTCTGGGGTTACCACCTTTCTTTTGCCAACCCTACCACTGGGTGCTGGGGGCCAGAGAAGAGAGGATGAAAGGGGAGGGGAGAGAGAGAAGGAACCCCGAGCCCTGTGCCAGTACTCGCTGAGATTTCGCTCTCAATTGCCATCCCCAAGGTCTGAGCTGGCTCCTCTGAGGGTGGCCGGGCGGCACAGCGTTCTGCAAACACCTCCCTCTCCTGCAACTGCCCTTCCGGTTGCCAGGCTCTGCCCGGATGAAGCTGGGATCCCTGCTGGTGGCTGTCGGGGGAGGGTGGGCTCCTCCTCCGTTTCCGTCCTGCGTGTCACCCAGCCTGTTCCTCCCTCAGGTTCCTGAGGTTATGGATCGCTCTGCTGGTGATCTACCCCACCAACCAGGCCGTCATCGCCCTCACCTTCTCCAACTACGTGTTGCAGCCGCTCTTCCCCACCTGCTTGCCCCCAGAGTACGGCCTTCGGGTCCTGGCTGCCATCTGCTTGCGTAAGTGTCTTCCGAGCCTGGCCTTCCAGCCAGCCTCTGTTCACCTTCCCCAGTGGTCTAAGGTTTACCAGGACCCTCCCACTCCCTCTATATTTTCTCCCCCACCTCCCACTTCCCTTTAATTCCCGTCAAGTGCCTACACATGTGCTCAGTATCATTTCTGTAGATTGTTGGTGTTTTGTACAAACCCTGGTGCTGAGGACTGACTTCCAATATATCACAGTGCGGGAGCTGCCCTGCCTGCCATGTGCAGAGCCGCGACCCAGGCGCGGGTGGTCTACAAGCAGTGCACCACCAGGTTCCCTGGTCACCCTCCCAGCTCCACACTGGACCCCAGTCCTGGCAAGAAGGGGTGCCGCTGCACACCCAGGGGCGCTGGCCAGCCCACACATGTACTTTGAGTGAGTGCATTTCTCATCCAATTATCTGATGCTAAGAAAAGAAAAATCTTAAGTAGCTGCTCAGAGGCAGTCATTTTCATTGGAGGCGGCATTCTTTACCCAGCGGACTTTCACCCATATTCCTTGGCTGGAGCCTCCAGGCAATTCCACGAGGTGGCCGGGGCCAGTGTTAGCACTTTCCCTCTGCCACAGATGAGGAAGCTGAGTCAGACCAGCGGCTTACCCATGGCAGCAGGTCTCAGTGGCGCCAGGCTCAGGGCTCCCCGATCCCCTCTCCTTCCCGCTCACCTTCCTTCCTGGCTGCTTGTGGGAACATTTCTTCCCTCAACCCTCCTGCTCAGGCTTTCTAAGCTCTTGGGAAGGAGGGTGTCAATGGTAGGAGCTGGGGGCATACAAAGACTCATTATTGTCTGTGGTCCCTTCCCTCGAGGAGTTTGCTGTGTAACTGGGGAGAAAAGCCAGGTATGCGAGGCCTGGGCTTAGGATCAAGAAGATCTGGCGTGGGCGAGAGAAGCTGTAAAGAGCAGTCCTGCCAAGCATACCTCAGAAACCTCGCTGCGCAACCTCGATATCGGGGGTGGTGGTAGATTCGGGGTGTTGATGTCTTTCCCTCCAAATTTAATTTCGAGACCGCACAGATGTGGTCCTCTTCTAGAACCGACTTGGTCCCTGCCTTCCCAGACAAACTCCTACCCGAGCGGGAAGGCCGCCTGGCCAAACCTTACCCGGGGTTGGAAGTCAGGAGAAGCTTATTCCAAGCCCACCCACCTCTGTCGCCTCCCTCAGGGCAAGCCACTGATACCCAAGAAGTAGTTTGGTCTAGTGGGTCCCCTTTGGCACTGGTGTTTGGCCCTGGGATAGACACCCCGCTGTGGTGCTAAGACATGCGTTTGTGACATGTTCCTTAGGTTACCTGCGCCAGCATCTTCATTCTACCACTTCCTACCTGGGGAGAAGGCTTGGCCACATTGCCCAGTCTCACTGCGAGACGGGCATGGTGCCCTATCTGCCATTGGATGAGATGACAAACGGGGCACTCTCAGTCCTGAGTAGCCCAGTCCAGTCCATGACGGAGGCTGGGCTTCAGGAGGGGGGCAGGGCGGGCGGGAGGGGAGCTGCGGGGGCAAGCTGCCTGGGCCAATTTTGCCTTGTTGCTAGCTAGACCCAGAACCAGGCAGGGAGGAAGGGAGTAAATGGGGGTGGGGGGAGCTGCAGGAAGAGCTGTGTGCTTCTGCCAGCAGACAGGCTGGGTAAGGGTGGGGGGATGGGAAGAGGGGCCACATGAGTGCTGGTCACTGCGATTTCAGCGCCTCCCTTTCTCCTGCTGATGCTGTCTCCAACTGGAAATCCCCCTTCAGCTGGAAAGCCAGCGTCCCAGGCTGACCAGTCTGTCCTGCAGGACGAGGAGCCTGCCCCACAGGGTTACATTCCTTAGGCAGCTGCACCCTGTGGCTCCCAGGTCATTCCTCAGACCCACCAAGAACAGGTCTGGTCTTTCACTCGCTGAGCCTCCTGGATAGAGCAGTCAGAGGCTCAGACCTCCACGCAGATAAGAATCTCTCTTCCCTGCAGCCTCATCCAGAGAGACAGGTTGCCCACACCAGCCCGCCCCGCCCCGGGCCAGCACTTGCTTGAGGGCCGGACCAAGGAGGGATTTTGAAACTGCACTCCTGACAAAAGCCACAAGACCCTCACTCTCCCCACCCAATTCCTGCTGTGTCACCAACGTTTTCGTGAAACCTATCTGGTCTGTAAAGAGCCCTGGTGGCATAGTGGTTACACATGGGGCTGCTAACCACAAGGTCAGCAGTTGGAAACCACCAGCTGCTCTTCGGGAGAGAGATGAGGCTTTCTACTCCTGTAGAGTCACTGTCTTAGACACCCACAGGGGGCAGTTCTACCCTGTCTGTATTAGTCTGGGTACTTTGGAGAAACAAATCCACAGCGACTCATGTATGAGAGAGTTTTATGTAAAGAAAATGGGCATCATGAAAACATCCCAACCCAATGCTGCCCAAGCCCACAAGTCCAACATTAACCCAACACCAGTCCACAAAGTCCTCCACCTCACAAAACACAGGCAATGATGCCGACTGCAGGAGGAAAGCTGAGTCAGTGAACGAACAAGCATCTCAGCACTAGCAGGGGTCTCCACTGCTCCAGCACCCAGGGCTGCATCGGGATAGGTCCATGTAGCTTCTCCTTGGGGATGTCTTGTAGGAAGTCAATCTTGCAAGCTGAAGCAGGGAACTGCTAAGGCAGCTGCATCCTGGTGCGACCATCACAAAGCAAGAGACCGAGAGCTAGAAAGGTGAGGCTCACCACCCATTTATCCCTCGGCCTTTCAATTAGCCCCACATGTGATTATCGGCCAGGCTGCACAATTAACTAACTCACTGTCCTATCGGTCGCTCTGAGTCAGAACCCACCCAGTGGCAGGGAGAAGAAGTTCTGGCCTGTCTGAACTGGCTACTGGGTCTGTCTGTCTGTCTACCTGTCTGTCTGTCTTCGGCAGAGACTTCTTCCCCTTCTTTGACTTTTTTTTCTTCCCTTCGGTTTTTCCTTTTTTCGGCCAAAACGTACCTGGAGTCCTGTTATTCCCAGGCTTCTTCCTCTTTATTTCCTGTAACGGAACAGAAAACAGCCACTCGCCTGACCCTGGGCCCTGTCCCTGTCCTTCCAGACACAGGCCATGTGGACCCCCCACCCCGACTCCCTCGCAAGGGTGCATGTGTACATGGATGTAGCCGGGCAAGCACTTTTGCTCTCCTGCTTTTAGGCCAGGATACTCCCAGCTGCTTTGAGTCTTCACAGGCGTTGTGATTGCTTCTTTGTTGAATACTATTTTCTTTTATTTTGCAAGCCCACTCCTTATAGGCCCCTCGGCTCATCTCTCTCTCTCTCTCCCTCTCTCTCTCTCTTTTTAAAAAAAAAAAGATCATTGGCAGCTCATCTCTTAAGGGATCTAGTGAAACAGGAACCAGGCTGGCCGGAAAGTGCGAGGGATGCTATCTTGCCTTAGATACTGCTATCTTGGATTCCAGCACGCCTCCCACCCACATCCACCATCGCCACATCTTAGCCGCTTCCAGGAACGTCAGCCGGGGAAAGTAACTCAGCCTGGAGTTCCGTGACTAGAGGCGGAGCTGGGAGCAGGAGGGTCTAGCCGTCTTCTGCAGAGATGTGGTCGCGAGGGTCTAGCCGTCTTCTGCAGAGACGTGGTCGCGACTTGAGGATGGGGAGGACCGATGGCCTAGGGAATAGACATGGGATTTACGTCGGAAACGCCTTTGGGTAAGCTGGTGGCTGGGCCCCACTCGCCCTGCATCAGAGCTTTGGCGGGAAAGGCCAGCAGAGCTGACTGGGGCTTTACGCCGGGTCCAGTCCGTGGATCCAAGAACGTGGATCCAAGAATGGGGCATGGAGCCCAGTGGGAAGAGCCCCCTCCAGAGTGTGCTGGAGGGAGGAGATGAGGTCAAGTCTGGTTCCCTGGTTGGGGCCGTTTTGGAAAGACGTGCTAAGGACCGATGGGGCGATGGAGTAGCCTGCGGGTGGAGAGGAGGAAAGAACCTGCTGTAACCAGCTTGCCTGTGGGGAGCCAGGAAGGGGGGCGGGGAGAGGGGAAGAGAGGGAAGCTCAGTTTTGAATCTTGCTTACGCAACGGCAGGGCAGCTGCCACTTTGGGCGATTTTATGATTTAGGTCAAAGCTGATGAGTCACCGCTGACTCAGCAGAATAGCCCCACCCACCAGGCAGTAAAAAAAAAAAAGAGAGAGAGAATTTATTGTAAAGTTTAATTAAATGAAAAGCCTTTCTCCCTTCTCCTGACCGAGCAGGCACTGGAAGGGGATAAAACTAGATTTGGCCCAATTCTCCCGGGGCGGTGGGGGTGGGGGTGCCACTTTGTTTTCCTCTCTTCATTCCTTTTTTCTCCCCCACCCTTAAATTTTGTCAGAAAAAAATAAATGACCACGGCATGTTCACGTAACTTATAAAAATAAGCTAAGCGTGAAAGCCTGCCCTTATCCTCTTCGCCCCTGCTGCCCAGTAGCTACGATCGTGGTGGGTAGTGGTCTTGGCAGCGCTAAAGAAGGGGCGGTTATTGAGCCCCTGTCTGGGTATCCACAGCTTGCTCTTTGGTCATTCAGCCTCAGGTTCGGACCATGGCCTAGGCACACACAAAGGGACCCAGGGATGTCCTCTGCGGGCCTTCTGTCCTCCTTTCCCGTCATCCCACCTTGCTGTCGCAGGTCCTGGCCTCTGTACCTTCCAAGACCACAGTCATATCTAGTGTCTAACACAGTTTCTTCCCCGTCCCAGCCTCCCTCCACTTCCTGAATGTCTTGTATTCCAGCGGCTAGTTCTCCCAACTTTTCCTGCCTTGTCCTGCGTGCGTTTCACAAAGGGGGGGCGGGGGCAGGGGGAGCGGTCCATAGCCTGTTTTCTGTCTGCTAGATTCCTGAAAGGCTGTTTTCTCAGTTTCAGGGTTCTCCCTCTCCCTCGAGCCATTTGGAAAGGAAAGGGTTTCTATCTTGTTCTGGACCCTAAATTCCTGTACAGAAAGCCCTCGGGGACTAGGGAGACGGGATGCTTTTGTAG